CCCTACTTCCGGTCTTGGTCGCCATTTTGTGAAATAGGCCTATCGCAAAAACAACTTTTAAAAACATAAATCAAGCATTCATCCATCCAAACGAATTCGTTTAAAAACCTTTATGTAAACATGTATAGACTAACGATCTATAACGTACGGTAAAAAGGTTTTCATTTTAAAAGTGGTTACCGTCGTTGTGAATTACAGGCGCATACTGCGCTTTATAAACTACGTGAACCGACCATAGATGAGTGTTGTGTGAAAGGACACACAGACACGGTCGGGTTAGGTTAGAGGCGTGTGCCAAGCACTTCGTGGCACGATCACGAAGTGAACGTCTTTCCTGGCAACTCAACCAACCCTTTTTTTCATTATGTTATCACCACATTTTTTTGCACATAGTGCATGACGCAGAACTCAAACTCAAAACTACTCCGTTTTAAAATGGACACATTTATTACACTTTTTGAGAAATGTGAGCATATTCACGGCCTTAAATTTATGCAAAGTGAATTTAAGACACGACCGGACAGTTATGGGGAACCCCTGGTATTGACGGAATTCCGACGCAGACCAGTGGCGGCTCCAGACAATTGGGGGGGGGGGGGGGGGGGGGGGGGGGCAATGGGGGCTCCTGGTCATTTCAAGGGGGGTCTCATGAAAACCAACAAAAAATACAGTGGACACGGCTAATAACTGCATACTACTGCTACTTAACAACAAAAACAACACAGCATATCAACTACTTTGTTTTTAATTAATTAATCAATTGCATTTTGCAGACAATATGCTCGAATTTTAATTGCCATAGCCACACCCATGACAGAAAACATATTTACAAAATAGTATCTATTATTGTCATGCTCTCACCTTTTGCTTGCCCTACTTCTGTCCAGTCTCCTCCTGTCTTCTTCTCTGCCATTTGCCATCACAGGAATAAATTAATTTTTTTTAAATATATCAAAATATAATTATTTTAAATTCCATTATAATATTTTATAATATTACAGTTTTTTTTATCAAATAAATGCATCCTTGGTGATCCATGAGAGACTTTCAAAAACATAAAAAAATATTACAGACCCCAAACTTTTGAACGGTAATGTATCTAACAGTGTTTAATCTGTATCATAAAACAGATCCCCTCATTCCTTTTTTCAAGCGTCTCTCTGTCTAATCCAGGTCTAATCTTGATGTCTCAGCCATTTCGTAAATTTTGTCTTGTGCCTGCTGAAGTTGTAGCTGTAATTACAGAATTGTCTTGAATCAGGATTGAAATACTTATACTCACAAAAAAAAACTAAAGTTTAAAGGGGTTGGTATAATGTCCTCTTCATACGATGTAAAATAAGTCGTTGGTGTCCCCAGAGTGTGTATGTGAAGTTTTAGCTCAAAATAGGCTACCCCACAGATAATTTTATATAGCATGTTAAAATTGAGGAGACTGATATAATGAGTGACCACCAGATGCATGCACACTGTGAAAAAAATGACGACAGGCAAAACAAAAAGCCGCGTCTTTTGACACAGAATAGCCTATTCAAGCCACTGGTACTGTTTGAATCACGAGCAACTAAAACCCCTGGATGCTAGCTGCCCCTGCGATCCAAAAGAACGACGCGGGTATGATTTTAGTTTAGGCTGTCTTGGTTTCTCGGCTGGGCCGCATGGCTTAAATTCCCCGTTAAATCCACTCAGCCGCCAGGATTCCCACCATCCGTGCCCGCTGTAGCGTAGCAGCTCTTGCGGGCTCGCGGGAGCGCCTTGAACGCAATGACGCAAGGCGCAGCGACGTTCATGGGGCGTCGCAGTGATTCTATGTTTATATTTTTTTATATGTCGAATAAATTATTAATTACTATAGTTCTGCGTAATTTGAAGAGAAACATTTTTAAATCTTTATATATTTTTTAATCAGGAAGGGAGTGGGGGGTCAAATGGGGGGTCAAAGCGTTTTTTTGGGAGGGTCTTGAGACCCCCCAAGACCCCCCCTGGCGCCGCCACTGACGCAGTCTCTCTCGTAGCGGCGGAGAAATGTAATCCCTGTATATATTATGAAGGTTATTACTGAATATATAATTACACACATTATATATTAGTAAGTATATTGTCTCTCGCATTTTCAAATGTATGAAGATTCCTTATGCCTTTTTCAATATATTGTAAAATATCAACACCATATATTATTCTGTATATTTCCAAATATGCTGTGACACCATTCATATAATATAGGGAATTATATTTTCTTTTCATAAGAGGACCCCAGACAGTAAAATGTGATTTTGTAACGTCATGATTTTTTTTTAAACATGTAATATCACCCACTCCATTCATGTTTTTAGTCTAACCATTTAAAAAACAAAAAAAACAAAACTATTATTATTTGCCTTAATTTCATTATTAGACCTACCAGCAACGTTAGGTCGATGTGTAAAGATGTAACGATTCATAGTTTCATTCGTGGTGTTGACACGAAAAACGAGCCATAATCTGCTGGAAGATTGCTGCAATCTCCTACCTAGACAAACTAACACTTGACAACATGCTCCGCTATCAGCGTTTGTTGAACAATGAACTGATTTGTGAATCAATACGCAGAATTTTCCTGTTCCTGGGCAATAACGGTGGAAATGTTCAATAGTTGTTTAGCCAATATTTTAAGGTAGGCTATATATTTTGTATACAAATGAACCGCATCCTTAGACGATGTGACAACTAGCCCCTGGTGATCAATCGTAAAGTGCGTGATGATTCCGTGACTTGCGCATGAGGGCGGGGAGAGCCGCGCGCGAGAGAGAGAGACAGAGAGAGAGAGAGAGAGAGAGAGAGAGAGAGAGAGAGAGAGAGAGAGAGAGAGAGAGAGAGAGAGAGAGAGAGAGAGAGCAAAAAACGAGCACCCTCAAATAACACCGCTTTGGGAAGAGAACCTGGATCGTAATTAAATATAATCCTCTTGTGAGAGCGTGAATGACATTGGCACATCAGGTAAGAGACCTGTTATCTATTCACGAAAGCGCGCGACAGCTCTGATTGATATTCACTCAATAGTTATCACTGCGTGAGTCTATTCCATTAGTTGCGAATATGTAGTAGTCTACTATAAGGCAGTCAGATGTCAAATAACCTCAAAGACAAATGATCCATCAAAAACATCAATCATTAATGTGATGTAGTAGCTAGGCTACTTCAATTCAATATCCCCGCCGTTAAAATTACACTAGGCTACAGGCTATGACATGGACGCTCGATATTTCTAAAAATAGCTTTGGTGGATCTGTCAGGTGACAACGACGAAACTCGCGTTTATCACCTAGTCCATCTAACTCAGTGTTTTATAACGCCGTAAAATGTAAACCACACGAGCTTGTGCAAAATAATTCAACATATGGGAGAATCATTCATGCCCAGGCTTCAAATGAAAACAGGTGGAGGAACAAAGATAGAAACACTCCAATGTTTGGTTGCATAAAACAAACAAAAATAATTGATTCTTATTGCACAGCATACATCCCGGAGTTACTGGGGCAAGTTGTTAGTATTTCTCCAGTAGTCCGGTCAGTAGGCTATTTCTTAGGGAAAGTGTAGTACTTTTGATGAATATTCAGTAGGCCTATTCTGTTTTTGATGTCATGTTAATATTCACTTCAGCTGATAGGCTATCTATTATATTTGTTTATATATTCAGTGTATATATACACTCACCGGCCACTTTATTAGGTACCCCATGCTAGTAACGGGTTGGACCCCCTTTTGCCTTCAGAACTGCCTCAATTCTTCGTGGCATAGATTCAACAAGGTGCTGGAAGCATTCCTCAGGGAGTTTGGTCCATATTGACATGATGGCATCACACAGTTGCCGCAGATTTGTCGGCTGCACATCCATGATGCGAATCTCCCGTTCCACCACATCCCAAAGATGCTCTATTGGGTTGAGATCTGGTGACTGTGGAGGCCATTTTAGTACAGTGAACTCATTGTCATGTTCAAGAAACCAATTTGAAATGATTAGAGCTTTGTGACATGGTGGAAGTAGCCATCAGAGGATGGGTACATGGTGGCCATAAAGGGATGGACATGGTCAGAAACAATGCTCAGGTAGGCCGTGGCATTTAAACGATGCCCAATTGGCACTAAGGGGCCTAAAGTGTGCCAGGAAAACATCCCCCACACCATTACACCACCACCACCAGCCTGCACAGTGGTAACAAGGCATGATGGTTCCATGTTCTCATTCTGTTTACGCCAAATTCTGACTCTAACATCTGAATGTCTCAACAGAAATCGAGACACATCAGACCAGGCAACATTTTTCCAGTCTTCAACTGTTCAATTTTGGTGAGCTCTTGCAAATTGTAGCCTCTTTTTCCTATTTGTAGTGGAGATGAGTGGTACCCGGTGGAGTCTTCTGCTGTTGTAGCCCATCCGCCTCAAGGTTGTGCGTGTTGTGGCTTCACAAATGCTTTGCTGCATACCTCGGTTGTAACGAGTGGTTATTTCAGTCACTGTTGCCCTTCTATCAGCTCGAACCAGTCTGGCCATTCTCCTCTGACCTCTGGCATCAACAAGGCATTTCCACCCACAGAACTGCCGCTCACTGGATGTTTTTTCTTTTTCGGACCATTCTCTGTAAACCCTAGAGATGGTTGTGCGTGAAAATCCCAGTAGATTAGCAGTTTCTGAAATACTCAGACCAGCCCTTCTGGCACCAACAATCATGCCACGTTCAAAGTCACTCAAATCACCTTTCTTCCCCATACTGATGCTCGGTTTGAACTGCAGGAGATTGTCTTGACCATGTCTACATGCCTAAATGCACTGAGTTGCCGCCATGTGATTGGCTGCTTAGAAATTAAGTGTTAACGAGCAGTTGGACAGGTGTACCTAATAAAGTGGCCGGTGAGTATATATATATATATATATGCAAGTAAGTGTATTAAATTTAAGGCCGACTGCATCTTGCCAGTATGAATTTTTTTCCCATGTGTGAATTCTGACCTTTTTTCCCAGGCATGTACTCCGAGGAGTGGAGCAGGAATCGGCAGGGTAGAGAGAAGGCTGTGATCACGAATTTCAGCTTTAGTCAGCTGCCAGAGGAGGAGAAGAGGGGTTGGATAAAACCTCACAGTGATCATGGTGAGTTGCAGATACGCGCAACACAGAATTAATATGCTATAAAAATCGCACATACAAAATGCATTAAATTGCACATGCAAAATGACGTGTATATTGATGTATTTGATGCATGCATTGAGGTCTTTGTATAAATGTATGATGCATGCATTTGTGAAATAATGCATACATTAGTTCCCAAATTGTTTGTGACATGCAGGTAAACAATAAAATATTTTGATGTTTTTAGTAAGTGTTAAATTTTGATTATTACAATTTTGAAGTATTTATTTGTTTTTAATTTGACATTTTTATGATTTAATTAATTATTTGCTTCTCATTAACTCCCTGCAGTTTCCTCACAAACCACCAGGGGTTCACAAAGTCCAGGTTGAGAAGCCCTGCATTAGTGCAAGACACCATCATGTACAACACAAAAGCATTCATGACTTTTACATTTATGCATTTGGCAGACACTTTTAATCAAATCGACTTACATTGCATTTAAGGTATACACTTTATCAGTGCATGCATGCATTCCCTGGGAATCGAACCCATGACCATGGCATTGTAGCACCATGTTCTCCTGTTTAAGAATGTTAACTTTTATTAATTAAAAATGGGGCTCAGGTTTATCAAGCTGCTCTGTCATTCTGGTTGGTATTAATCCAAGCTCATGTCTTCATTTCAGACTCGGAGGAATCCATTCCTGATGATCGCTACCATGGCATCTACTTTGCCATGCTGTTGGCTGGTGTCGGCTTTCTACTGCCATATAATAGTTTCATCACTGATGTGGACTACCTCCACCGCAAATTCAAAGGTTTGATGCAACCAACCTGTCGCACATCACAGGATAGACAAAATTAAATTCACAGAGCTGTGGGTGGAAAAAGTGTCAACTATGCACTGCACAGTAATATTTCTCTACAAGTTATGTTTGTCAATTCCCCTCTTTTCTATTGTCAGGCACCTCTATTGTGTTCGACATGAGTTTGACGTATATACTTGTGGCTCTCAGTGCCGTAATTGTGAACAATGCACTCGTGGAGAGACTGAGCTTACACACTCGCATCTGTGTGGGTAAGAACATGCAAAAGTCGCCTCAAAATACAATGATGAAAGGCTCCTCCGCACCATTTTCTACATGCACATTACATTACTCTTATTTATCGATCGCAATATCACTAAATTTCTTGTTTTGCATATATAGGATATCTATTTGCATTGGGACCTTTGGTGTTTGTGAGTGTGTGTGATGTCTGGTTGGAGCTGTTTGACACTCAGCAGTCCTATGCTGTTACTCTGGCTGCAATTGCCATTGTTGCATTTGGATGCACAGGTACATTTATACAAGCAATCATGTTCTTGCATTTGGGCTACATTGTGTTTTTGTCATCTGAAACTTTGTCCATTGTCCTTTTGACCTTTGCAGTGCAGCAGTCCAGTTTTTATGGTTACACTGGGATGCTGCCCAAGAGGTACACACAGGGCGTGATGACTGGAGAGAGTGAGCTGAACTTCCAATTGCATGAATGAAATTACAATCATTATATTAAAATAATTTTTTTTTTTTTGTAATTCTGATTTGAATTTTTCAAGTGATATAGTAAAAATATGGTAATACAAGAATTAAATTAGAGGCAGTACAACAAATACAGTTGTTACAATATTTTATTATTTAAAGGGGCTATATGTAGAATTCAGAAACCCTTGGTTTATACTCAAGGGAAAGTTCTTCTTTGTTTGTTGCTTGGAAGTAAAAAGGATTGTGAAATACCTTTGCAGCGATATACTGTTAACGAACATCCCGACGCCACCCACACTGCTGAGAGCAACGTTTAGATGAATATGTTAAAGGTAGGGTAGGCAATTTCGGAGAGGCTAGCAATAACAAGCTAGCATTGAAAGCATGAGATCCAGCCCTCCCTTCTGAGCATCTCCAAAGCCACGCCTCCTCTAAACACACAAAGTGTCACGAGAGACGGCGTTAAATTACTTCATGTCTTAAAGCATATAACATTACAATAATAATGAACGTTAACAACTTAGAGCTCTTGTACTTCCTGACTGCTGCAGATTCATTTCAGCGTTGATAGTGTTGCCATTGAAAAGCAAAAATCTGAACAGCTCAGAGTAGAACATCAACTAATTACGGTTATAGCTTGCACAGCAGGGTGCGCGGGGCTATGGAAAAATACATATGTTGACTGGTAGGACATTGTGATTGGACAAACATTTTTTGGTCCTGAGACTTCTACAGAAGATATACATGTTTTAATATATAGACAACTTTTATTATTAATTGTTATCAGGATGTGAAGAGTGTTCCAACCAGTAGAACAAAAAGTGTTTATTAAAAAATTGCCTACCTTACCTTTATTTTCAATAACAAAATAAACAGACAACAAAAAATGACAGCGGTGAAAAAGCAGCAGTTAAGAAAGCATCTGATCATTGCAATGTGGATGTGTTTGCACAAGCATTGACGGATGAGGTAATTAAATTATATGCTGTTGTGATAGTTTGCTTATAAAGTATATTTGAGACCAAATAGATCTGGCTATGTGAGACTATAGTTTGAATTAATCACTTTGCTTTGCATGACATACTGTACTGTAATGTACAGAATGTATTTTTCTCTTTACAAGCTGTTCACTCATTGGCAATAAAAAAAGCGATTAATACATGAACATTTTTATAGCCCCTTTAACGTAATAAAATTATATTTAACTACCGGTAAATCAAATATCTTAAATGTTAAAGAGAGAAATATATTTTAATTGGTAGGGGAAATATGCTTAATTGTCATAAAGATAATGGCACAATTAAAACTAATCTTATTGGTTCTTAAATCATTTTAATTTTAATAAAACATTTTTGAAAATACAATTTCTTCGAAATATGAATTCACAGAATGTTTACTCATAATGTGTTGGTGTTTGTTTGCATTGCAGTTGATGTGTTTTTTTTTGTCAATTGTTGTTTCAGGCACTGCTGGAGTTATTGTCTCTCTGAGTCGGATTTTTACAAAGCTGCTGGTGGAAGACGAGAAGAACAACACCATCATCTTCTTCCTGTTCTCTATCTCAATAGAGACGCTCTGTTTTCTGTTACACGTGGTGGTGCGACGAACACACTTTGTCCGTTATCACACCGACAGAGCTCGCCGCAGCCACAGCTGGCTCAAAGGACAGATTAATAATGTTACGACACAGAAGCGCAGTGGCTACCAGATACATTATGACAGCAGTGCAGAGGAAGAGGTAAATTCACACACAGAAGCACTGGTTTGCATTTGACTTTTGAGGACTTTTTGTGAGATATTGATCCTTCATTCATTGGTTACTGACAGGTTCAGAAAGGTTTCTGTGGGTCTGTCGAACTGTTTTCCTTCTTACATTTATAGAAAAGTTATCTTGCAAAAAAAATGATAATTTAGGTGTACATGGTGTTTCAAAACTTAATGAGCGCCCTACGATAACCTTTTTGAATATATGCACACTTCTGACACAAGGCAATGCCACAATACACTGTGACAAATCTCAGCGCAAACGTTTTATTCAAGATACTATACATATAAAATACATTGTTACATACAAAATTTACATTGACTCATGGCATTTCTACATATTAGGATGGAGTGGCCTCAAGCACAATTGATGAGGCTGATGCAGTTAATCTGGGTAACGGTTCCCATGGAGATGAAATTTATGTCAGATTTGATGTGCCCAAACCAGACAACAAAGGAACCTGGATCAATGTGAAGGGTGAGCCATAGTTTTAATCACAACTGCCTGTATTTATTCTGTGTACAAACTGCAAAATAATGTTAATTTCAATAAATGTCACATTTTTAGCACTGAAGTATTCTAACATGATGGCTTTCTTACAGAGATTCTGGGTCAGAGGTGTGCTGTTGCTCGGATGATCTGGCCATATATGCTCTCAATCTTGGTGACATATTTCATCACACTGTGTCTGTTCCCTGGTTTGGAGTCAGAGTTACATAACGATACACTGGGAGAATGGCTGCCTATTCTCACCATGGCTCTGTTCAACATGGCAGACTTTGTGGGAAAGGTGAAATGAAACAGTTTGATGTCATTTACGAGCATATAATATCATTTTAAAAAGGTGAATGTTTGAAGGCGACACAAAATGGAAGTTTAATTTGCGAAAATATTTTCTTTACTATTATGACATATCTGAGTGAAACAGCTTGTTGAACAATAAATAATGTAGGACGGGACTTGATTTCGTCCTTTGGGAATTGTTTGGATGATTGGATTGTTGTGGTTTGCTATTTATAGTTTTCAGTCACGTGACTGGCACGGGGACCTGGAGGGCAAAACATTCACATAACTGTAGCTCGAGTCTGTCAATTTTTGCAAGTTTTGGGTACTTGCGATCCATATAAATCAATCACTTAACCTGCAAAAACACCTAAAATGCCTTAATGTACTAAAACAGTGTAAGATCAAATTCAGTGTACAACTTATTGATGATGCATACCATAATACAGGTAAGCAGATGAGCCCAGAATATGAATGCAACACACTAAATGGTTAACCATTTTCTTTATAAAGTCTTTTTATGGAAAAACCACTTAATAAAACTATACATTATACTTTTTATTTCTCAAATTAAAATAAATACTTAAAATATACATAAATATTAATAATATAAATATTAAAAAAATACTTTATATGTCTCAAATTAAAATAAATAGTTTGGGGTTTTAGATATTTCCCATCATTTTAAGTCCCTAGCTACACCAAAAACGAAATGGTTACATTTTCTTTGACTTTATTTCTCTCTCGCTCTCTTTAGATCTTGGCAGCGTGTCCGTACGAGTGGGGCGGTGTGCAGCTGCTGGTGTGTTCGTGTTTTCGTGTTCTCTTCCTGCCGCTGTTTGTAATGTGTGTGTCTCCTGTGCAGCGCCCCCTGCTGGCGCACCCCGCCTGGCCCTGCGGCCTCTCCATGATGCTGGGTGTCAGTAACGGATACCTTGGCTCTGTACCAATGATACAGGCGGCCGGCAAGGTGCCACTTCAGCACCGAGAAGTGGCGGGTGAGTATATCAGACACATAAAGAGTGAGCGAAATGTGTAGTGTGGTAGATATTCCCCTACACACACCTGACTTCAGTTAAATACCCTGTGTGATCCAGACACCTACGATTGGTAGCACCAATCCAAATTTATTTTCAGACTCTGAGTCAGATGACGCCTCGCCCCCTATGAACACTATCACTTGGTAATGGTTATAATATCTCTGGTGTTTAGCGTGCTGTGCAGCATTTGCAGATAGACTCCAGACAATGCATTCGAAGAAGTTTTTAATCGCGGCCGGAGGACCTCAGACCAATCTCAGAGAGAATCCCCATGACAAAAAGAGTACAACAGTTTATACAGAATCGGTGCATGGCAAAGGTGACATGATTCATTACATTTTTCTCTAATATGATTGGCAATATAGCAAACCCCCCTCCTTTGTTTCTGGGCAAAGCAAACTGGATTTTTTTGATTACTTCAGCTTGTTGCTCAAGTCATGAGGTTAAATATATATATATTCAGACAGTCTTCTAGTCTTGTCTGTCTGCTTCCGTTATTTCAACATGCACTAACTTTTACCCAAATGTTGGGGACATTTTATTCTCAAAAGCATAAATCTTAATCCTGCAAGAAAAAGCAATGATAGTTATGATTAATAAAAAAAAATCCTTCACAGTAACCATCGAAAAGTAACCATCTAGAGGAAACTTTTATTACTCAGAAGACTTGTAATGTTAAGTAAGTGTTATCAAATATGTTTTGACAAAATAGGTTAAGGCAATTGTTGACATACAGTAAGAGTATAGGATCTGTTTAGTTTGAAATTTTGAAAAACAGCAGCTTTCCCACTTTGAAATTAGCCAGTGATGATCACTAGAATGTACTTAATACAAATTCAAACTTAATACAAGCTCTTTATTTCTTTATTTGATCAAAGTTGTGACATTATCACCCACTACCCCTATCCTCAGATCAGGAATAATTACTGAATAATTTTTTTAACACTGTCAGAAGTGTGAAAACCTTCAAACAAATGGTCTGGTCAGCGTTATAGTTTTTACTTTGTTTTTTAAGTAATTGTGCTTATATTTTCTCACAATCACCATAATAAGTCAGCTGTCTCAAATTAAAATTGGCAAAATGTAAGTGAATACATAATAAAAAATGTTTTAAACAGATTAAATCTACTAAGTTTTTAAGAATAGTTGGCTACAAAATTCAAGTAGCCTTCATAAAAAAATGTGTTTTTGTCTTACCCTGATTCTCTATAATAAGCCTATGTGTGGCGAGCAGGACGAGGCCGAGGGACGTGAGAGATACGAGACTGGTGCGTTGTACAGGTGTCGCTCATCAGTAATCACGTCACTGGCCTCGCGCCGCTCTCTCACGGCCCTCTGCCTCGTCCTGCTCGCCACACTATGGTAATAAGATCTTGGTATGGATTTCCTGAGAAGTTATATACTTTTTATGCTTCACACACACATAGTGTAACTTTAATCTAAAATATAATTCCTTCACACATAACATTTTATTTAAGTCCCAGTACTCAAAAATCTGAAAGATTTATAAAATTCATGGATAGCGTAGCTCAAATAATTTGCTTTTAGAATTGTAGGAGGTTTTTCTCATGAGAATAATTGTGTGAAGCGGGAGAAAAATTCTCCATTTGCTTTCCATTTGATCTCAATGCTGTCATTTGAAGAAGCAAATGATATATTAAAATCTTATTGTGATTTTTCTCCACTAATTTTGTTTTCTCAATGATTATATTACAGGGAACACTATGACTGTATCATATATGGCTGGACTGATGCTCGGGTCTGCAGTGTCTTACTCAACATACAGTCTGACCTCACAGGCACACGCTACTCACACACTGAAACTCAACAACACACTCACATTACACAGCTATATACCTGGCCACTGAGTGTCTCTCTCACACATACACTGGTTTGTATAGTTGTTAATTATGTATGAATAAAGAACATTTCCAAAGACTATTTCTGCTGAAACACCAGTTTAGACCAGAGTTTGCATACTGGTCCAGGCTGGTTTATGCAAGGAAAGTCTGCTGGTTTGGGACGTCAGCATATTAGCGTTTCATTCTGGGAACCAGCATCCAAAACACAACATATACTGGTGATCAGCCATGCTGATTTTTTCACAAGGGATGTTAGCTCATTAAAATGTGTTGAGATATTAATTTGCATATTATCCAAGACTGTCGGAATAAACATCAAATTGTTAAATAAATAGATGTATGACTGTTTCTGTCATGTTTAAATCATGTATGACCACCATGTGTAATTTACTGTAAGATGGATATAGCTCTACATTATGACTGGTTGATAAAGTTGTGTTGGTGTCTTAGTTTTAGTTTATGTTTATGACTCACTTTAACCTCAAAGCAAGGATAGGTAACAAATAGTTTCATTATTTGCAAAATGTCTTATTCTGGCCAAAAAGCACCCATTGATACAAGAAGGTTGACTATAAAAATTGACTATAACCTACGGTTTACTTTTTGACGTAATGTTACGGACAGGGAAATCTGAAAGTGGACCCTGACAATGATTTATAGTTCACACAGAACACGTTTTTGCTTTGAAAAACACAAGATGTGGGCAATGGAATGGGGAAAAGTTGATCTTGTAACTTTAGTGCAGTGTTTTACTTCACACCATGCACGAGATGTTGCAAGACACGAGATACGGGTGCAACGGTCAAACACGTCTATCTAGAGCGTTTACATTGGAAACTATATGGAAAAGTAGCGCAGTGAAATAGTAAAATGCGTTCTGTGTGCATGGCCCCAAAGTGTCTAATTTTATGGCACGGATCTCACAAACCATGTCACATACTGTACAGCAACTATTATAGTAGACTGGGAAGCTACAGTGCTTGTGTTGGGGTCGTGGAGCCTTTCCCCCTCGTCATTCCGTCATTTTTACACTGTTTCTGACAAAAAATTTGAGCTTGTTATTTTGAGGATGCTTAAGTTTTTGTTAAAGTTTGCAGATTGTTTAGCCTAGTAATTGCAGCTTATCTGTGACCAGTTCAGAGTCAAGACCAGTTCAATCCATTTATAATGCCATTATAATGAAATCTTTACTGATTCTTCTAATAAACTAAACTGAAAATTCTCACAACTTTTTGTTGTTGTTTGTTTGCCTTCATTGACATTTGTTAAAGTATCAGAGGCGGTATTGACACTGACAGCAGCAGGTACAATCTATATTGTCTGGTACTGTCAGGTACAATCTGGGTGTTCACAGTAATCAGGTGCAAATCATGGTGCAAATTCACACACAGAAGCATCCTTCTCTATGTAATAACTTTTTTACTCTACAAAGTATGCAGTATTCATTTTTATTAGAGGAATCAAAGTTATTAGATTTACAGTTGAGACATTTAAATGATAATAGTTACAGTGAAATGATAATCATTTTTCATTATAATTTTACAGATATTTGTCATTATAATTTGTCATTTGATTAAGACACAAGAACATAATACCACTCAATATAGATTCCCCCGAAATGTTTGAAAACATTAACTTCAGTGTTCACATTTCCCCAAGTCTGTCTCTAAATCAGCTATGACATCCAGCACAAGGTTTGCAGTATTATTATCAGCATTAGAAATTCATTGTTTTACGATTCTGACAGCAGATGTTAAATTAGTTCAAATGAAATTATACTAATCTGGATAAAACCACTCAAAAAAGTTCCCTCAAAAAAGTTTTCAAAGTTTCATTGATTTTGAAGCAACCTCTGTCTGTTTTTTTTAGTATTGAAACAAGCTAAATGGTGTTCGTGTTCCATAAAGGTTTTGTAACTCTCTCTCTAAATCAGCCACAGGCTTCTCCGTAATAACGGAGTTATTTTCATTTGTTCCAATGACTCCCCGTGACTTTGAACATCTGTAATTTTGATCTAAGCAGCAGAATGCAGTCCAGAAATGACTAGGCACATTCACTCTGTTTTTGATATTTGTAGTACCTGGTATCACCCCTGTAACAATGTAAACAGTTTGAGAAATGCATCGTCTCGCCAGATATTTTGCCACCATTTTTTCTACATTCCACCATAAAACACTGTTAAAATGGGGGTTTTGTGGAGCAGCATTAGTGAGAGTGAAGGTGGCGTCAGCACAGCTCTGTGATTCTGCCTGGTAGACTGGAGCCAGATGACCTTTGTGGTACCCAGATTTCTCATAATCTTTATTGAGAGCTTGATGGACTCCACGTAGATTTATATCCACAGACGCCTCAGACGCCATGTCTTCTCCTGCTTTATCATCATCAAGCTGCAATATTGCTTGAAGGACTCCACGTAGATTTCTATCCACAGACCCCTCAAACGCCATGTCTTCTGCTGTATTTTTATCAAGCTGCAATATTATTTGATATATAACATAGAAAATATCAAATTAAGAATGCTGGATTCTGGATATAAGAAGAAACACCAGTGCATCCCTGTTCACACGCAGCATTCAAACAGCTTTATGCTTTACAACACATGTGTGAGCATTCGTATGTTATACTAGCAATCTCTCTTTACTTTGGAATCATGTTTACTCATCTAGGTATATTTTATACTGAATTTTTCAAATTAAATGCTTATGTGTGTGGTTTTCAGTGTTTTTAGAAAGTTTCTTAAAATGTCTTAAACGTCACTTATTTTAACTTCTAGCACTTCTCAGAAGCAATGAACTGCACTACAGACACTTCTTGTTGTCATTATAAAGCACTATTCCAGTATTGTCATGGTATTGTATTATAATTTTCATTTTCTGTAATGATAGTAAAGTACTTTCTCGTATCCTTGTTTACTATGCATGTCACTACGTATCAGAGGCGGACAGAGTACAGAGCTTTGTTACTTGAGTAAAAGTACAGATACCCCTTGCTAAATTTTACTCAAGTACAAGTAAAAGTACTACATTCAGATGTCTACTTAAGTAAAAGTACTAAAGTACTTGTTTTTAAAAGTACTTGAGTATCAAGAGTACAAGAGTAGATTTTCTAAATATTGCATTACTAATCTACTGCCACAGTGCTTACATTTATGCACAGAAACGTCCTACATGGAGTTATGAAAAATGTTAATGTTAATACCTTGGAGAATGTAAAAGGAATTAAAAGTAAAATCAAGTCATTTTCATCTTTTTACCATGTTGCTTTATTTAATTTAATTTAATTTTTGGGGGGTCCCATCTTTAAATGCGGGGACAACACACACACACACACACACACACACACACACACACACACACACACACACACACACACACACACACACACACACACACACACACACACACACACACACACACACACATACACCACATGTAAGGGTGGCGCTGCCAATAAAGCACCTAAAAGCTGTCACAAAGAACCGGCAAAAGGAATGATTATGAATATGTAAAATATAGCAAGGAGATATTTTAATTGTTTATTAATAAACACTTGTTAATAAACAAGTGTTTTCTTTGTCAGTGTCGGCTAGATGAAGTTGACGATGCTGACTCGCGATCTTCAGTAGTGAACGCGCCAGAGAGAAATGCACATTTCATACGGATTACATAAGCAGAGAACAGTCTGTAGTCTGTTTTCTTTCGTTTTGAATTTTTCTGTTTAAAAGTAGACATGTCTGTGTGAGGCAAGTAGGCTACCTTATACACTGAGTTTCGGTTCATTTATGAGACGAGATCCAGTTCACGTGCCAGCGCCTCCGTTTCTTATCTATTGTCTGCTATTTACTTCTTATTTATTAAACCCAGGCAATTGGTTGATGGAACATTGATTCAAATTAAGATACAATTAATGCAAAACGAAATTCAGGTTAAAGAAAGGTTTTGTGTTTTCTGTTTGATGTCTCTGTGAAAGTTTTAAAGCATTTTTTATGCCGCTTTCAGAGCGCTCACGTCCGTAACGGAGAACACGTCCATAACATTGTTTTTTCCTCATAAATGCAAACCCGAAAAATCAAATAAAACAAAATTAATATTTTATGTACTGTGGAGACTGAGCGCCAACCCTTCTTCATTCGCTGGGTAGTAGCCTACTTTGGTTTGCGCAGTGTAATTCACATAATCAGTAAAAATATATTTTGCCTCCCCTTTTTTTAAGAAATCAGAAATCCTTCATGGCTACGCCACTGCCACATTTGAACCTGACTGTGTTAAACACACCACATACTCAAGAACATCAAACCAAATGCTTGGCTTACATTAATGTGTAATATAAAATCTGACCATGGAGTTGACTTTGGCGGAAAGCTGAAAGTGATTGCTGATAGGCTGTCCCAATCAGTGGCGCCTGCACAATCCAATCACGTTTGAGAGGGAAACAACAAATTGAGGGTTTCCGAGATTTTTCTTTACTTTTTTTTTTTTTTTACTCAGGTACTCACGGTTATGGATAGAAATGTATTGGAGTAAAGAGTACAATATTTGCCTCTCAAATGTACTTGAGTAAAGTCATGAGTACTCCCCAAAAATGATACTCGAGTAAAGTACAGATCCCTCAAAATTGTACTTAAGTACTGTACTCAAGTAAATGTACTCCGTTGCTGTCCGGCTCTGCTACGTATGTATTTCAAGTCTTTTAGCTGAAATTTTGCATTAATGGTGTACAGTGTAAAACCTTTAACAGAATTAATTTAGATAGGGTAATATTTCACTTACTTGAGGTTCAATGTACCACTTATTTAGTCTTGTGCAGTGCATTATCCCTTCAAACCTGTAGGCTGAGTACACTGGGATCCTGTTGTAAGTATCATAATAAGTGGCATAATAAGGAACACCATTTAGAGTTTGGCAGATCTGCTTGTACTGTAGTCCAAAAAATCTTGTTGGTGATTTTCCATTTGCAAAAAATTGACCACATTCCAGCTCAAAATCCGTCACAACTCTGGCCAATCCACCAGAGAGAAGAAACACCATCAGCACATGAAGAAGCAGCGCCATGATGAAGAGGATGAAATGATGAATTATCAAGATCTCTGCAAAAACAAATACCATGTTATAATTTTTATAATTTATAATTTTCTGCTATAACAACTTAAATTATGTAATATATAAATAAACAACACTTACCTAAAATTTAGCAGAATAAGTCAGATATCAAGCTATTAACCTATTAAATGAAGAGACAAAGATGAGAGAATGTAAAAAACATGATACACAACACCTTACGTGAAGTAATTAAACATCTACTATTAAATACTTACCCGATAATAAAGAATAAAATGTAAATACCAAAGGAAGCTCTACAAAAATACTATAGTATACTGACACCAAAGGCAAGAACACACTGGTGTTGCAGTGAGTTCAGAGAATATTTGTTTTGTCATGAACACTTTTAAGGAAATGTGGCTCACAATCTTGATCCACCAAATATCTCCCTATGGCTGCAATACATATTTAAACAAAGGTCCTTAGTCCAATAAACATAATGAAACTAAAAGAGAACACTTTAAAGTAAAAAACTTTCTGACTTGGCTTATATGCATATTCTGTGTGCATATAAGTATTCACATGTACACACACACACACACACACACACACAGAATATGCATATAAGCCAAGTCAGAAAGTCAACTTTATTTCTAAAGCGAAGCGCTTTGTGTGTGTGTGTGTGTGTGTGTGTGTGTGTGTGTGTGTGTCTGTGTGTGTGTGTGTGTGTGTGTGTGTGTGTGTGTGTGTGTGTGTGTGTGTGTGTGTGTGTGTGTGTGTGTGTGTGTGTGTGTGTGTGTGTGAAATACAAAAATATATATATACATACACACACACACACACACACACACACAGTATACAAAACCACAAAACACACACACAACATGCAAAACATCAGACATCTCTTGGAAAAGTAAACACTTCATTCAAAACTATTTTAACTCTTCCAAAAATTGTGTTTTTGCATATAACTCTACACACAAACATTAAATGATTGGCCACATACACACCAAAACATGTAAAACACTACTATTGTGTCTTTTGCTTGTTCAGTGTAGTGGAGTGTACAGGAGTTTGTTACACGTTCATTTATGTACACAAATACTATACACATACACTGAATATGCATAAGCAAGTCAACTATTTCTAAAGCGCTGTGTGTGTGAGTGTGTGTGTGTGTGTGTGTGTATATATATATATATATATATATACACACACACACACACCTAAACATATACAGACATACATATATATGAAAACATATACATACACATAAATATACTGTAGGCCTATATACACATACACTACATATATGTAAATATATCTATACATATATATTTACACTATAAAAAGAAATTCAAGGGGGTAAAAATATATATTTTCTTTCTCTAAACACTGAGTTTTGAATTCTAAGTGATCAATTTATGTATAAGTGTTTTCACACATGAATGGGATTTAAGATTTAAATGGCAGTGTTTCCTAAATTAAACAAAAGAGCTGTTAGTTTTGAATAAAGTTGTAGAACTGTGTTTAGAGTTTTGCAAAAAGTTTGTTTTTCAATTTCAAACTGAGTGTAAAGCACGTAATGTGCTTGTAGTTTTGCAGACTTGGTCTGAAGATTCAGTACATGAGTTAATGGTTTCACTGAGTGAGCCTCAAGTTCCACTTTTAGTGTCTTAGCAATTTGAAAAAATTATATATGGTGATACAACAACTACATTTGTGTAATTGGACTTTTAACTCATAAACCTTATATTTACGGAGATATAGCCCTTGTGACAACATCTCCATGTGATAACCCTGATCTCACCCATATTCGATAAACCTATTAAAAGTATTTTACAAATTATGCAAATATCAGTTGCTGTGTGTATGTAAAATTGTAGCAAAAATTAAGATCACATAACACAGGTCTAACAAACAAAATTGAACTCAAAACAGAACTTAAAATAGATTAACAAGTACTAACAATTAAAAAGTGAAGTCAAAGATGTATCCAGTCAAAAACTGTTACTCACCAATGGAACACGCATGTGTTGTTTCTCACAAGAATCTTGTATTCACCCGTCCTTCGCATATAGTTTCTTCCCTTTACTTACATTTATATACCCTCTCCATTTAGTGAATTTGCTTTCTCAACCATTTATTTTAATAACTCAGCAAAAATAAACAGGGAACTAAAACCATTCAGCTCCCTGCTTCTCTTTTCATAGAAGTTCAGTGCAGTTCAGCGTGCGTTAGCTTCATTAAAAATACACACAGAACCAATAGTTCTGCTCATTAGTTTACTCTTGCAGAATATGCATGATGTTATGATTTAACAAAATAAAAAATGCATGTTATTTTTTATTTAATACTGTCCTGAATAAGCTGCATCACATAACAATTTACATGATACAGTTACATGATAGTGATAATAATAATAACAATAATAAAATAGTTTGGCTAAAACACCAGTGTGTATAGTGAGACACACAACTAAGATGAGGTTTAAGTTCAAGTCCAAGTCAATGGAAAGACATTAAGTTATAAAGTTGACTTTCTGACTTAGCTTATCGCAAATTCAGTGTGTGTGTGTGTGTGTGTGTGTGTATATATATATATATATATATATATATATATATATATAGACTGATGAATATGCATACAAGCTACAATATAGATTGTTTCACAGCAGCTTCACAATAGTAACAAATTCAAAAGAAATTCTGCCGTAAAGCAGCTCTAACAAGCCAATAGTGTCAATATTCAGCTCAAGTCACTTCAGTATTGATTCAGTTCAGTTCCATAACTGTAAAGTTCATCAATTGTTCATACATACTGTATATACAGTGTATTTGTATTTTGTGTTTGTGCACAAACTTTTACAGAACTCCTCACTGCACACTGAACAAGCAAAATACACAAGATAGTAGTGTTTTATATTTTTCACATCCGTGTGTAGTTTTGTGTGTATGTGGCTAATAATTTTATATAGAGTTACTATGCAAAAACACCATTTTTGGAAGAGTTAAAATATGTGAATGAAGTGTTTGCTTTTGCAAGAGATGTCTGATGTTTTGTGCGTGTTTTGTGGTTTTGTGTGTAGAGTTTCAAGAAATGGAGCCATAGTTTCAGAAATTGTGTGTAAGCAATTTGAAAAAACTGTAAGAAGCGGGAAAAGGGGACAAGAGTGGATGAAAAAAACAAGTTACCAACCAACTGGAAAGGCTTCCTGAGAGTGGATGAAAACAAAACAGAGCTCTTTCACTTTCTGGCCAGGAACCTTGTGAAAATGTCGACTACCAAATTGTTTCCACATGCGGACTCGATGTTCTATCATCTCACCCACAAGAATCAGATCAGATTGCAAGGATGCTACTCCATGCGGCGGATCCTGCAAGAAAAGGATTAAAAAAGATCCCCCTTTGAACTGTGGACACAGATGTTTTGGTCCTAGCCATTGCACATGTGTCAGAGCTGGACACTGAGGAGTTGTGGGTAGAATTTGGGACTGGCAAGAGCTTCAGATACATACCTGCCCATGAAATTGCCAAGTCTCTGGGTCCTGACAAATTCAAGGCCCTTCCAGTGTTCTATGCCTTCACTGGCTGTGACACAGTCTGCATTTGCAATCAGGGTCAAGAAGACAGCATGGGAACAGAGGCTTTCTCTGTCAAAGCCTCCAAAAAGCATTCCAGAGGAAGTAATTTCCATTGTGGAGCGTTTCACAATTCTTCTCGATCGCACCAGCAGCCAACTCAACATTGATTAAGCTCATCTTGAGTTGTGCACAAAGAAATGAAGATGAATGGAGCAAATCCCCGCAACTAAGGATGCACTGGTGCATCACCTCAAAAGAGCAGTGTACCAAGGAGGACACTGTTGGGGACAAGCACTTGAGGTGGCACCAAATATCCCATCTCCAACAAACTGGGGTTGGATGGAGCCAAGCGATTATTCGAACTCTTAAGTTGTGGCGGCAAGAGCTGCCCGGAACATTGCAAATGCAATAAAGCTTCCTTAAAGTGCACAGCTCTGTGTCAATGTGGAGGAGACTGTGAAGAATAGGTTTCTGGAATTGATTTTTTAAGTAAATCTTTGTGTTTGACACATTCTTTTTAAGCTATGTTGCTAAGGTCATATTGAATATTCTACTCTTTACAGTAGGGGTTATTGTCAGGGATAATGAACAAAAAGTTTAAGCTTTTTAAACTCTCAATTGGGATTGGTATCCCACAGGTGCTGTGGGACCCAACAGAAATCTCACGAGAGTGGGCGGTTTTACCTTTGCTGCGTGTGGGAGTGGGCGGTCAAAAAATACAGTGCAGGTCCCACAGTCTAGCGATCCCGCTATTTGCCGCGTAACAAGAAAGGAGTCAACAAATGAAGTTCATGCAGTCGATCAGTAACATTCTCTTCCTCCATAGCAATCTGTAGTTCAATGTATGCAACATGATGAAATACAAGAAATCCAATACAAGAAATAACATGCTTAGAAATCCCCCCAAAAAAGTGTCAGTGAACTTTCTTCACTAAGTTAAATATCATCGGACCGTGAACTCTGTTTGTCAGATGACAGTCAGAATGATAGTTGAGGGATGTGAGCGCGATTACGACAAACACAACAGATTAATTCACCTCAGAGAAAAAGGTGCATAGATTCTAATCATCCCCATATACTGATTGGCTTCATCACGGTCTCCTCTCCACCAGTAAGCTGGTGTGTGATGGCGCAATATGCTGTCGCATCATCCAGGTGGATGCTGCTGAACACTGGTGGTGCTGAGGAGATTCCCCCTTCCATGTAAAGTGCGTTGAGTACCTATAAAAGCGCTATATAAATGCAACGAATTATTATTAATTATTGTATTTTGTGTTGCGTTTTAATCTTAATTTCTCGCAAATTATGGTCTGGGCGAGTCTGAGTGAACTGCAGTGCTGTCCAGCGATTCAGGAGATATCGAAATTCAAAATACATAATTTGGTTATGGCGGAAACCGGAAAGTAAAATGGCCACCATGGTCACCACAAGGCGTTTTTGCGAAGGCCCCAAACTGTACA